GTCACGGGTGCATGTTTTCCTCCTTCCCTCTGGCAGGATGAACAGTCTGAACCGTGTCGTTGTCTCTCATGAGGCCCAGAAGAGATTTCTTAAAATCTGAATAAAATCTAACTACAGAATTGCCTTTTCTGTGTCTCCCTTCCCTGGCAGAGCTCTGGCTGCTGGCGCCGTGTTCTGTCCCTGTTTTCTGCCCACTGACGCTTAACAACATTTTAATTTTTGACTCAGTCTCTCCTTTCCAAACTTTACTTTCAGGTTCGAATTTTTTGAATCTTTGGAAGACGTCAAGAAAAGGACTCTGGACATTGCAGTGAAAAACAGCAGGCCCTTCATTTCCCAGGAGAGGAAGGAGCTGGGGAAGGTAAGTGCACAGACATTAACACTGCTGATTTAATAGAGCTGAACAGCCGAAGCCTTTTCTGTCACCCTGAAACGCCCTTCCAGTAACTCAGTCTCAGCAGTAGGACTAGCGATGTGAAAACAAGCTTTTCTGCCAGGTTTTCATCTGAAATCAGACTGTATCTGTGTGGAGGCTTGTGTGGTCTCGTGTGATGTGGGCGCTCTTGGGATAAAAACATGTTTCTAGGAATAAAAACATGTTTCCTGGGCTGTGCTGCTGCCCCTTTGGGGAACGGCCCCGACAGTGCAAAGACAAAACCCAGAAAGATGCACGATTAAACCCCAGGGTTTGCCCAGCTTTGTGTGAACAACTTTGATTCTGTGAAAATAAAATTGCCATGGCTTCTTGGGTGATAAATTTCCAAGGAGTGCTGGCAGGAAGCTGGGCTCACAGGAAGCCCTGGGAGCACAGGGTCCTCATCTCCCTTCAGCCCGAGAAGTTGCCGGTGGTTCCGCCGTGGGCAGAGCGCTGGCTCGGCTCAGCAATTTGCCCGCTGAGTAACAGTTAAGAGAAATCCAAATTTCCTTTTTAAAGGTGCGGATTGACTTGTCGCAGGAGGACTTGATCAAAGGTTTTGCGCAGTGGTGAGTGTCCCTCTCCCTTCTTCCCAACCCTGCTCCTGGTGTGCGTGGCCGGTGGTGGTGTGCCGGTGAACGCCACGTCTCCTGGTGAGCAAGAAGAACGTCTGACCTGCAAACGCAGGACTCACTCCAACTAATTTGGTAGTTTTATCTAAGTTGTACGTTAATCCAGTTGCGAGTGCAGTACCTGCCCCGTGAAATAGTTTTAATAAGAGGCCTATATGTCAATTATAGTCTTCAGTGTATTTTAAGTTACCATAAAAGCCACCAGGATACGCAAGTAAAAGAATTATGTTTATTAAAGTAACCTTGCAACAAATTTTAACGTGGATAAAGATCTTAACTAAATTAATACTCTGATCAGCAATTTATATATATATGATAAAACTTTAATTACAAAGTACTTATAGAAACTATTATAATAAGCCACTTATAGTTTTGCTTGTGTGTTCATTGTGGTTCAGACTTAAACCCTAAGCACTGGTCTGAGGCAGAGATTAAGAGCCAGGGCTTCTTCCCCTTCTACGTCTGTAGTTAATGGCAGTAGCTCTTCCTTCTCTCTCCTTCAATGGAGCCCGAGGAATGCAGCCTGGGTAGCCCAGGAGCTTGCCACCCACGCAGGCAGCGAGCCAACGCTGGCCAGCGGGATAGGAAACCCCAGTTGCCCCAGCCCAGCTCGTGCCTGTGTCTCACAAACTTATGGCAATGGCAGGAGCAGGAGAAAAACATCATATCTAAAGTTTCTGGCCTCAAACTTCAGTTCTTTGCCATCTCCGAAGCCTGGGAAGCACAAGCAATGAAGCAGCCCGAGTTCTCTCTATCGTGCCAGTTAAAACTTTAAAGAAAGCCTTAAACTGCTGTAAATAACTTGCTGTGTCTGTCTTGCAGGTATGAGCTGACAAGGAGCAGACGCAAGAAAAAATGATTTCTTCTCCTGTACATAAGTTACGAATTTTTCAATTTTGTATGAATGTACAGATCTCTTTTGTAATTAATGTGTTTTGAACAGTCACTGCAAGTTTGAAGCAGTCTCTAGCTCAGGACGTGTAAATTTAATGACCCTACTCAGCGATTAGTTCTCACTGTAGTAAAAAAAAACAACAAAGAAACAAACAAAACCAGCCCCACACTGGGAATAATTTGTCTCTAAAGAGTAAGTCCTTTATTTTTGCCATTTCTGGCATATCTCCCCCAAAGAACCCTTAAGTACAAATACTCTTTTAAGGAGCTGTTGTATCTGGAAATATTTTCAACTGTCAGCCGAGGGTCATTCCTTTGCTTGGCAGCCCCCTTTCCCCAGGATCCTATTCATGTTGTTTTAACATGAAAGCATTGCACTTTTAAAAGAATAAATTTTTGAACAGTGTTCTTCATCTGTAGGGCTACAGAACCTGCTGAAAGAAACTGTTTAAGCCTCTAACAGCAATTGTTTTTTTGAGAAACCAAGAAATTGATATTCCACTGTTGAGAAGCATCGTAGCAGGTTGTGGCTGCGGGAATGTATATAAGGAGCTTCCACAAGCAGGGAGGTTAGTTTACCAAGATGTCATTAAGGTGTCAGTTTGTGACGTCTTAACGTGTTTTGTTCTTTGTTGACAGTACATTTCAAAATCTTGTAAACCTCGATAGCAAAGCGTTCTGCCTGAGGAACAGCAGAGTTTTGTAAATTAAGCTTTATTAATATTGGAGCAAAATATACCAAAATATTTTTGGAAGCTCGGTGTACTTGTTTCTGTACAATAAACTTCTAACTGTCTTGCATAAGAAATTTGATCTATGGCTGATAGTTTTAAATCCAGGCCAGGCAGAAACAAACCACCACCTGAAGCAAGTTGCAAATCTTTTTTGGCCTAGATTACTGGAATCTAGTCTGCCTCAGTCCACGACCAGCCAGAACCTCACTGAATAACCATTTGCTCGCATCCCAAATTTATCTGAAGATGTAAGCAGCCTTTTCAAACAGGCTCTCCAGCAACCCAGGCCAGGCGAAGGCCGATTCCAGTTGCGAGTGCAGTACCTGCCCCGTGAAATAGTTTTAATAAGAGGCCTATATGTCAATTATAGTCTTCAGCGTATTTTAAGTTACCATAAAAGCCACCAGGATACGCAAGTAAAAGAATTATGTTTATTAAAGTAACCTTGCAACAAATTTTAACGTGGATAAAGATCTTAACTAAATTAATACTCTGATCAGCAATTTATATATATATGATAAAACTTTAATTACAAAGCACTTATAGAAACTATTATAATAAGCCACTTATAGTTTTGCTTGTGTGTTCATTGTGGTTCAGACTTAAACCCTAAGCACTGGTCTGAGGCAGAGATTAAGAGCCAGGGCTTCTTCCCCTTCTACGTCTGTAGTTAATGGCAGTAGCTCTTCCTTCTCTCTCCTTCAATGGAGCCCGAGGAATGCAGCCTGGGTAGCCCAGGAGCTTGCCACCCACGCAGGCAGCGAGCCAACGCTGGCCAGCGGGATAGGAAACCCCAGTTGCCCCAGCCCAGCCTGTGTCTGTGTCTCACAAACTTATGGCAATGACAGGAGCGGGAGGAAAACATCATATCTAAAGTTCCTGGCCTCAAACTTCAGTTCTTTGCCATCTCCGAAGCCTGGGAAGCACAAGCAATGAAGCAGCCCGAGTTCTCTCTATCGTGCCAGTTAAAACTTTAAAGAAAGCCTTAAACTGCTGTAAATAACTTGCTGTGTCTGTCTTGCAGGTATGAGCTGACAAGAAGCAGACGCAAGAAAAAATGATTTCTTCTCCTGTACATAAGTTACGAATTTTTCAATTTTGTATGAATGTACAGATCTCTTTTGTAATTAATGTGTTTTGAACAGTCACTGCAAGTTTGAAGCAGTCTCTAGCTCAGGACGTGTAAATTTAATGACCCTACTCAGCGATTAGTTCTCACTGTAGTAAAAAAAAACAACAAAGAAACAAACAAAACCAGCCCCACACTGGGAATAATTTGTCTCTAAAGAGTAAGTCCTTTATTTTTGCCATTTCTGGCATATCTCCCCCAAAGAACCCTTAAGTACAAATACTCTTTTAAGGAGCTGTTGTATCTGGAAATATTTTCAACTGTCAGCCGAGGGTCATTCCTTTGCTTGGCAGCCCCCTTTCCCCAGGATCCTATTCATGTTGTTTTAACATGAAAGCATTGCACTTTTAAAAGAATAAATTTTTGAACAGTGTTCTTCATCTGTAGGGCTACAGAACCTGCTGAAAGAAACTGTTTAAGCCTCTAACAGCAATTGTTTTTTTGAGAAACCAAGAAATTGATATTCCACTGTTGAGAAGCATCGTAGCAGGTTGTGGCTGCGGGAATGTATATAAGGAGCTTCCACAAGCAGGGAGGTTAGTTTACCAAGATGTCATTAAGGTGTCAGTTTGTGACGTCTTAACGTGTTTTGTTCTTTGTTGACAGTACATTTCAAAATCTTGTAAACCTCGATAGCAAAGCGTTCTGCCTGAGGAACAGCAGAGTTTTGTAAATTAAGCTTTATTAATATTGGAGCAAAATATACCAAAATATTTTTGGAAGCTCGGTGTACTTGTTTCTGTACAATAAACTTCTAACTGTCTTGCATAAGAAATTTGATCTATGGCTGATAGTTTTAAATCCAGGCCAGGCAGAAACAAACCACCACCTGAAGCAAGTTGCAAATCTTTTTTGGCCTAGATTACTGGAATCTAGTCTGCCTCAGTCCACGACCAGCCAGAACCTCACTGAATAACCATTTGCTCGCATCCCAAATTTATCTGAAGATGTAAGCAGCCTTTTCAAACAGGCTCTCCAGCAACCCAGGCCAGGCGAAGGCCGATGGTGTTATGGCTGAGGTGGTTGGAGCACCTTTATCTGGGGCTCACTGCGCCAGCAGCGATCAGAACGCGGGGTGGCTACAGTCTGTCTGCCTCCCTGCTGGGGCAGAGTGTGTTGGGTCTGTCCCCAGGACAGAGCAGACCAGTCGACAGCTGTTACAGTAAGTTTTTCTTAAATTGACCATGAAACAAGAATTAAGAAAAATGAAAAAAACGCAGCAGTTTTTATTTATGTCAAAAAAAATATCTGAAACTGTTGATGAGGGTAACAGAGGTAGCTCTAACGTCATATACATCAAGGGGTACATTCACAGGTAAGAGAAATCTTGCTAGAGAAGAGCAAAGTGAACTCTTAACTAGTTACCAATTTCAAATTTCGCACAGTAGGTAAAATCTCATCCAGGTTACTGATCTCTGAAACAGAATGAAAAGCAAAACGGTAAGGGGTCTGTACCTAAAATGTCTTCAAGTCCAGCCAAAAGTCTAACTTTAATGTTAGAAATACAGCTAGTGAGGGAAATAAACTCCTCACACCTTTTAATGCTTTTGGAAAGCTAAATTGAGTTTTTTATCTTAGGAGTAATATGATTGAATATATGCAACTTGAACTATTTTGGCCACTTCCTGAAGAAAGATGAAAAGGAGAGCAAGGCAAAAGTTAGCACCTTCCCTCCCATCCTCCTTGTGCTCTAGCACACCAGGAGTAAACAAACCACCTGGGAGCTATTTAAAGCTTGAGGAGGAAGCGCTGGCATCCAGGTAATTACAACTGCTGCAAATGTTACTCACCTAGAAGACAAAGTAAATCTTGAATGAGAGCTTGAAATGGTGGAAAGAAGCACTCGTGTTCTTCTAGCTTCCTGATTATACTGAAATGTGCAAGTGAGACCGTCAGATTAAAGGTACAAGGATATTTTGAGTTCATCTCTCTGGCTGTTTTCCTGTACTATGTCATGACTTTTTGAGAACACTGCTACTCAGCAGTACAGAAAACTACATCAAAAATTGTTCCTGGGTTCTGAAACCTGCAGCCAACAAGTGTTGGCTACGTCAGATTAAAGGTACAAGGATATTTTGAGTTCATCTCTCTGGCTGTTTTCCTGTACTATGTCATGACTTTTTGAGAACACTGCTACTCAGCAGTACAGAAAACTACATCAAAAATTGTTCCTGGGTTCTGAAACCTGCAGCCAACAAGTGTTGGCTGTCAAAAGAAGATCTCTAATTCACAATTTATGCCCTATATACGTTCTTCCTTTCCTCCTTACGTGGCACCAGGTAATTTTCAGACGGGCAGATTAGTCTGTGTGTGCTCAATGCACTGCCTGGGGGTGGCTGATGGAACAGCCTCGGAGGTGGCACAGGGGCTGCTTTATAACCATTCTCTGGTTACAGCTGAGAGGGGTGCAGAAAGGCTGGAGTTTGGGGTTTTTTTTCAAACTCAGCCTGTGCCAGGCTTGCTGCCTGCTGCAATTCAGGGTTAGGGCATTTGCAGAGCCCATGCTGAACGCCAGCCCTTACGGTCTGCCGCCAGGTGCATGGATGTTCTCACCTGTTGAAGGTGGAACAAGAATTGTCCAGCTCCCAAAATATTTGTAGGCAGCTCGAGACGTTCTCTTAGCAACTAATGCACTTCAGTATGACAGCTGAAACCTTGCAACACTTTCTCCTCCCCACCCACGTACAGTATTTGCTTTGTCTCCTTATGAAACATGCATCCTTAATTGATCTCCTTATCCACGCACCAACAAGGTGTTTTGGAACCTTCTGGCCTTAGTTTTTCTCTTTGTCAGCTTTATCCTTTCAGAAGTATTCAAGATTGGTTTCATGTAGGATAGTCATTAACTCCTTTGCTGTCACAGCTCACCAACTTTGTAAGAAATTATGAAAGTTTCTTTCAGTACCAGTTTTAGGCAGTTCTCTCAATTACTAAGTTTGATGTTTGAAGAATGGTCACCAACGGACCAGCCCCACATACCTGTGGATGTCTTGGGTCCCCAGAAGCTGCTGTACCTGCTGGATCACGTTCTCATTAATTATGTCACACAGTTTCCCAACAGTATCCACTACCACAGTGGGCGGAGCTGAACTGTCTGCGGAAAAACAAACACTTCATCTTTTCTTGTCACACTAAGAACAGGAAAGTATTTTAGGCACAATCCAGTGCCCAGATCTTATTTGGCTTTCACACGGCTGAGCACACAAGGTCCATCCTTCACAGAAGAACCTGTGGTCAGAAAGGAACTAATGGCAGCCAGGAACGGTGAATCTGTCACTGATCCTTTAGTCCCAGAGCACGTGTGTCAGAGGCGTGTGCTCTCACGGCGCAGACGGCACTAAGGGGCACAGTGTCCATGGAAATCAGCCACTGACATATTTTTTTATTATTTTTATTATTTTTTATCTTTTTTTTTTAAGTTTAGCAGCGTAAGATGGCACTTTCTGAGGATGACATAATTACGCTTGAATGAATTACTGAGTAGAAATCTACAGCAGAGGTTGAGGTTTGTTTTTTTTTCTTAAACTTGTTATTTTCCAAGTAGAGAATGCAAAATAGAAAATGGTCAAGAAGAATTATGAAGTCAGCTCACAGGAAACAAAACTTTGTGGGGGAAAAAAATAATTAAAAATTCAATTTCATCTGTTATTGCTTTCTTTTGCCTCCCTGGAATTTCTCTGCAACTGCTAAAGGCTTACAATAATGGGGATTTGCTAATTGAACCCTTAGTGACATGGTTTAGTGATGTTTTTTTATCAGAGTTAGGTTGATGGTTGGACTAGATGATCTTGAAGGTCCCTTCCAACCTAAACAATCCTATGATTCAATTGACAGCAACCTATTTTTATCTTCCCAGTGAGGAACATACCTAGTTTACTCATTTCTCAGCAGCTCTACATATTTTCTATGAAGAGATCAGCCTTTCACTTGTCTTTTCCCTCTGGAAATGGGGTCAGAAGGAAGGCTAGGTGGTAAGCCTTTACCTAGTTCCAGGAGCTCGTGGAGATTTCTCATGGCGTTGGTCATTTCCCCCAGCTTTGTGTAAACCTCATTCATCCGGGGATAAACGCCGCTCAGAGAATTCACATCGAAGAGCTTCTGGAAGTGAGAGACTATCCCAAACAGGGTTGGCAGGGATGGTGTCTGGCTGTTCTGTGGCAAGCAGAAAGAGGAACTCATCACCGTTACTGCTTAACGAAGCAAGGATTCTTTTAAACTGCTAAACATTCTTAAAACTAGTCTACGAAGCAAAATGGGCGTCGCTTCCCTTATTAAAATCACGGCATTTCAAATATTCTTAAATCTGAAGACATATTTTAAAGTGAGTTTGCAGACATAAATACCCAGCAAACCAAAATTACTCTTTTTGAAAGCTCTCTCCTCGGTTGCTCGGTTCGTAGGCGCAGGGATTCTCCGCGCTGAGTGAGGAACAGACAGAACAGGCTAACACCCCAGACTGCAGGGCAATGCAAATTCCTCCTTGGTCAAATGGCTTTGATGAAAGCAGTCTTCCCCAAGGTGAATTTATCCATTATGCTAAACCAGTCTTTGACTATTGAAGATATTCAAACAGCCATTTCTTAAACCCCGCAAGGCTTTCAAGTGTGCAAATCTAATCACCGTGTGAAGAACCCATTTAAGAATTCCACAGTAACTTGTGATTATGAACCCCTGGTATGAATTACCTTTTCCTTATTTTCTATTTCTTCCAAAATTGCATCTACTATGAACTGGAGGTCTTCAACTCGTATGGATTCTCTGTTATCCTGTGGATCTGCAGTGTGCCAGGGCACCAGCTCCAGAGACAGTTTTCTCAAGGACCTATGCAAATCCTTTTAAAAGAAGGGAGGGGACACAACTTATTTTAATAACTTCTTAAAAGGTTTTTGGTTTTTTTTTGTTACAGAAACAGGCAGATTTTCTGTTTCTCATATGCAAAACCACTCCAGTACTGGAGACAGTAAGGTCTGAGCTTTCACAGAATTTAAGCACAGGATCTTGCTTAGATTCTTTGATTTAAAAAGAACACTCATAGTCAAAAAATTACAGTACTTCATCTATTGTTTCAGTGAAGTAAGAAGTGGTGGTCACTGAGTGTTCGGTTTTAAACAAAATTACTTCACTTGTATTTAGATCAAAAAAGTTCCTGTTCTGGCCAGACAAAAGGAAGAAAAGGGAATGCACCATCATTACTGTCTGAAGCACATAGACGCCAAAGCTCAAGTGTCTTCTTGGGGTCTCAGCCACTGAACAAAACCACGTAGACAATATTCCCAGAGGAATCTCTGTGGGCTGCAGGCTCACTGCACATATTTCACTTTGCTATGGGTTTAAAGTGATATATAAGTGAACAGCAGATTATTTTTTTTTTAATTTACCACTGAGCCAGGCAGTAACAAAAGCTACACACAGAACAAAACCCGACATGTAGGGAGAGACCAAGGGGTGGTCAGCAGATTAAAGGAGGAGCACAAAGCCAAGTACAAGAATGCCTTACCTTTAGGGCCATGAGCTGATCTGCCCACATTTCTATAGTAAGTGGGAGGTGCTCAAACCCACATTCCTGTCCATTCTCCTTAGTAGAGTTTTGCACTGGCCCTTTACTGCGCCTGTATATCAACGGAGGAGCTCTTGGACTTCGCAAAATAGAATCGATATGGGACAACACCTTCAACGCCAAAGAACAAATGTTATTGCTCAAATATGTATGACACCTTGTAATAAAACCCCTCTCCACCACAGTCATGACTGTCTGAACACTAAATCTTAAATAGCTCAACTAAGTTACTATCAATAAATCTTACAGATGCATTCAATATGTAATAAATTCAAAGATTAAAAAATATACTAGCTAGAAGATAGGTAAAAGTAATGCAAATATCCTTCCCTTTGAGAGATATTTAACATTTATCCACTTGAGGCATTGTTGCTTCTTCCACATTTGCATTTTGCCAAGTTTTACTATATTTCCTTTTTTCATTATTCAAAGAAAAATAAAAGCCACTATCTCTTCAGGCATGTTTAAAACTGTAACATAAAGATCTGTTTTACCCAAGACCTTGAAAAAAACCCCAGTCCTGAAAAGACTTCAGCTAAATAATTGATTTAATGTTTGCCAACCTAGCCTCTGCTTCCTTGCTCTATTTTCAGGTAGACAATTAAGACTGCCAAATCCAGAACATTACACATCCAGCGTAGAGGAGTTCATAAGAACTCTTAGGTTGGAAATAGCATGCTTCAGTTTACATAGGTAAACAAAACCCATTTATTATATTCCATTGTAACAGCGCTATATACACAAGAGTACAGATAAAATTTGCACACCTGGAAGTATTGCTGGCAAACTGCCTGCAGCTGATCTGCTCCTGCGCTTCTCGCAGGTTCCTTCTTTTCTTCTGTTCTTTCTCCATTGCTGCTCCCCGACGATCTACACCCCAAACACATACAGGGGGTTACACAAGAAGCCTTCGCAGGAGATACTGCTTTCAACTTGATTAAAGAGGCAGGTACGTAGCACGTAGATTTGCACCTACTAAGTAAAATCTCTATTTTATGATGCCTGCCAATAGAATTCCATCAAACTGAACTAGCTGAAGAATATAACACCTAACGTAAATATCATTAATTTATCTCAAGTCTCCAGGCTGAGATTATTCTAGACTGCATGCTAATTTAGGAGGGACATCACCAGATGTACAGTTGTTCTGTTATCAGCGTTCTACTACAGCTGAAGACTTAAAATCCAGAATTTTACTCAGAAGTGTCAAATTCCATGCTCACAGTCTTTATCTGCTTCTGCTTCAACATCTTTCCCGGCTTACTCTGTATCGCTCATTACTCTTCTTGTCAAACCTAAGATGACTTTCTCTTAAACTACCATCTAAATCATACCCGCTGCACGAGAGAAAAGATCATTTAAGTATACACGATGTAAAAGGAAGAACAAAACACTTTTAAAGTTTAAGAGATGTTCTTTTCAGGCTATAAAATATTCAGTATTCAGTATACACATGCACAAATGATTAAGTGAAATTACAGATAAAAACACTTTGTCAGTATTGGATCTCTAATACCTTCGATGTATTTTCTCAGCACTGTTTCAGAAAAAAAAACAACTAAGTCGGTTTCTAAGAATAATATGGACATTGCCAACTCGTACTTTCTCATTCATAACCCATAGTGTAACTGGCTTTATAGCTCAGGGAAGCAGCAACCACCCCAGTTTGCTCCTGTCCGTATCGCCTGCGATAGCATTCAAATCAAATCCAGAAAGACAAAACGCCCCCCTTTTGGAGACCACACCATCATTTCAGAGACACACAGTGTGTCTTTGAAAATACAGCTGCATTTGGTGCCCATAACCAGGCTCCCAGGAAGGGTGATAAGGTACGTGCTTTATAAGCTGCCATCCACATCACAGGTTGCAGAGTTATTTTTGCCTTAAGCTCAGAGGGTTCAGCAAAGTTACTGAAGAAATATACTTACTGGATAGTTTTCTGTAAAGTTTTCATCTTTGCTCAGAGGGTTCAGCAAAGTTATTGAAGAAATTTACTTACTGGATAGTTTTCTGTAAAGTTTTCTCTAGTTTCTTCACTTGGTGCTTGTAAAGTTTTAATTCCTGTGCAGTTGGTCTGTTAGAAAGAAAAACTACCATGTTATGTGTCTTGCCTTTGAAGGTATCTCTAAAACTCAGCCACGCAAAGTAGTAAGAAAGCTTTGCTGGTGCCGTGACATCATTCCGGAAATGAAATTCTGCAACATTTCTATGTGGCAACAGCAATAAACAGCAAAAATAATGATTAGCAGTTGTTATTAATAGCGTGGAGAGGGAAGGTTGACTGTTGCTGCCATGTCTTATTTCTATACATCGCTTTAAAAAGGCAGATTTCATACTACACTTCTACAATTGCTGCTGCCTTCAGTTTCTTTCTTTGTAAAGCAAAGTCTACTGCAATGCCCTTAAAAAGGATGATACTTATCCCTTCTCACCTTATTTCCAGATCTTTCTTGAGAGTTATTAATAGCGTGGGGAGGGAAGGTTGACTGTTGCTGCCGTATCTTATTTCTATACATCGCTTTACAAAGGCAGATTTCATACTACACTTTTACAATTGCTGCTGCCTTCAGCTTCTTTCTTTTTAAAGCAAAGTCTACTGCAATGACCTTAAAAAGGATGATACTTATCCTTTCTCACCTTATTTCCAGATCTTTCTTGAGATTTAGATTTTCAAGCAAAAGCTGTTCATTCCTGGCTTTTGTTTCAATAAGTTGTTTCTGGAAAGACTGCAACATAGACTGTGTTATTGCTTTTATTTCGCTCATTGCATAATGAACAAGCCTGAACACTTTCAAGCACGTATGTGTTAAGAAGGTTTCCCATTTGCCTGTACAGCGAGGCAGCAGGGATGAGGAATTAGTCAATTAACATCAAGAGGCGGCTGCATTAGACCGCAGGTGGAGAACCTGTGATTACAGAGGTCTGTTCAGTCCCCAGCAAAGACGACTCACAACATGGTACTGAATCTTTGCATAAAGACTGCAAACCCTGCCCAGAGAGGCTACAAATTAAGAAGACGCGATAAGAACACGGGGACAGAAATCAAACACATGTATGTTTCTACGTGGCTCTTGAAGGGTTACCATCTAGAGCTCTGCACTGACTTATCCTTAGCAGTTCCATACCGTGAGCAGTGCTCTATAATTAGGAGTAGCATCTAGATTTAAGAATTCTTCCTTGCTGTTTACTTCTCTCTGTACCTGGTCTTCATCTTTTTTATATTGCCTATTGGGAAAAATAAATTATTTCAGCTTACTGTAATTCGATTACCTTAAAGATCTACACTGGCTTAGTTAGCAGCTATGTATGATAATAATGTTTCCATAAACCACAAAGTAAATAGAACAGAAATTCTGCCCTAAGATCCACTGCTCCTCTATATTATTTCTGGAATAATTTTGAAAATATTTCTGAAGCTGTTTCATATACTAATTAGGTGCACTTATTCCTCAAGAGAAATTCCAGTACAAGCAAATCCCATTTCAGTTTTCGAGATGATAACCTCAAATTAGAGGAATGTCTCAGGTACCTGCTTGTTGCTTTGTACCATGTAGGCACCACGATAGAGCTGAAAAGCTGGTATTCCTTTTGTTTAGGGAGATCAGTTGACTGAGCACAGCTAATGCAGTAATTCTGCCTGTGAACCACGGCAAAAGAGGAAGAAAAAAACCAAAACCAAACACACACACAAAAAAGAAAGAATTACAGCTCAAGTGTCTAAATACCCCCAACTTCCCAGCTGTCCTGGCCTCCTGACTGAGCAGCTGCTTAGCCTGACTGACGGCTATTTCCCAGATAAACCCAAACTTCCACAACCATTACAGCCCCTTGCTGTTTCTAAAATGCTAGTGACATCTGGAACACAGAATATTTACCCCTACAAGCTTTAAGAACAGTAAGGAGTAAGAAAATTTGAACAGTAGGGCCGTAAGACATTAAAAGAGACCTACCTTAGCTCCTTTTTCATTCGACTAATTTGAGATTCATAATAATCAATGAGAGAAAGGAGCCTGAAGAAAGGAAAAATGTTATTTTGAATGTCAGATATTCTCAAAAAAGTCACGCCTGAAAGATACTGTGAGCAGCCCATAGGAACAGGCCAGCTCACAGAACTGCACTGCACTTCAGAAGTGACTGCACCAAATACCGAGTTCTGTCTCACATCAAACAGTCGAAGTTTTCCAAAAACAGAAGAGACATTAACCCTGTACTAGACAAAATGTTGCAAAATTATTCAGGAGGAGACAAAAGCTAAATTCTCCTGACACCCTCCCCGTCTTGTGACTACGTTAACCCAATCTCAGCAGCGTGGCACAGTCCCGAGTGCTGGGGCTCAGTCACCCTTGCAGGAGGTAAAGGAGCTTGGAATAGTTTCTCTGAACGTTCACTGAAGTACCTGGGAAGCCTTTCAGCAGGCCCCCAGTCAGCAGCTGCAAAAATCAGTTGCACTTCAGAACTGACTGCAAACTGGACAGGTGTTTGGTTTTTTTTCAGGGGAGCAGGGGTGGTGTTTGTCATTTTTTTAATTCACTTTTTAAAACATTAGAACCCCAGGATGAGATCACCCTAGCAGATACTGCAGTTCCAGAGCAGAATAGTCATTCCCTTCTCTTTGCTGACACCTAGTGTATGCAGGGGCTGATATTTTTTCACTTCCTGCCATAGATTTATCCAGCTGACATTTATTATACAAGAAAAAAATTACTCCATTGACATACCTTTACAAGAACCCACATTTCAGCTTGCACTTCTAAGGTCTCAAGCTTTTTTTCTTTTTCCCCCCCTCACAAATATCCAGAACAGTTAGTCAATTTAAAATCTGTCTCTTCATTTAACGTTACAGGTCATTCACCAAGAGAAGAAAATTGCTTACTGCTGATCTAGAAGAGACTTGGGAGCTCTTTTGCAAAACCGACAGAACATTTTTTTTTGAGTGGAAACACGCTGCTGCTCTTCTATCCCAACTTTGCACAGCTCCCTCTGCAAACGGGCAATAATCTCCTCCTGCTCTTGCAGCTTTTCCTGCTGCTGTTGGTATGTTGCCTGTCAATAGATAATGGGAGAATTAGGAAATTAGCCTACAAGCTGGAGACTCTACTGTACATGCCCAAGTAGGAACCTGGTCCCAAGGAAGCCTAGTACTCGGGTTTTAGCCGTACTGAATATGCAGTGCAAGAAGGACAGAGATATTTCTCTAAGTTACTGCTAGAAGATTCTGTATTAATTGAAAAATCCTAGGTCTATGTAGTGTACTAACTCTATGACTCATGCTTATTCTGATCAACGTAAATATTTTTAGAGCTTTTAAAACAAGTCAAAAGTTTGAATCCTCAAATAGCACTATCCAAATTACCTGTGAAGCCTGTTGATCTCTCTGAAGTTCTTTGACTTGATTCTGTTGCTGGCAAACTTTAGCTATCGTCTCATCTTCCAGCTGACAAATTTTGGACTTGATGTTTTTCACCACATTTTCCAAATCATTAGCTCGTTGCTCTTGTCGAGATGCCCGACCTCGTTCCTGTCGTATCTCATCTCTGAAAAAAATATAAAATAAAAATCCTTGATTTAAATTGAATGCAATTTGACTAAAGCCAGTGAAGGAAGCATAGGCCTCACACAAATTATCTGATGATACTCAATACTAGCCTGTGGCAGCAGGTATGGGAAATATCCTGGTATAGGAAGCAAAAATCTTTTATTTAAATTGAACGCATTTCACTAAAGCCAGTGAAGGAAGCATAGGCCTGACAAAAATTATCTGATGATACTCAATAATAGCCTGTGGCAGCAGGTATGGGAAATATCCTGGTATGGGAAGCAACAGCAGACGAAACAACGGGAGAACTCAAAAGGAACTATGCCAACACTGCTGCATATTGGACAAAAAGCTCAGGAAAACGTTCTTAAGCCTCAGATGTGACAAGAGCTCCATTTGGCATGAGATGGACGCTAACAATACTTTTGCTTTACGTTAGAAAATTCCTTCCACTGTCTTACCTAAGACCACGATTAGCCTCCATAAGCCCCTGCATCATTTTCTGCTGCCGGTCCGTGTCTTCCACCAGCGTTTTTAATGCAAGCCTTATTCCTAGAGAAGCCTGACTGTCCAAGACAATCATATCTGGAGATACAAATAATAAGCGAAGTCATAATGAAAAGCTTTTAATAGCTGACAAAGACCACATCTCTGCTACCGTTTGGAAGTGACGGCTTGAGAGATGCTTTGTGAACTTTGGCTTACTATTTTCAAATACAAAAAAACTTGTAAAATGAGCATTTCCTTACCCGGTATATTTCCGCAGCCTTGGGGGACAGCAAAACTCACTGGTTTCAACCCGTGGCGCATTAATACCTTGTTCAGGCTCTCCCATTCTGCCTTCTCCTGCTGCATTGGGAGAAGGGGAGGGAAGAGACAGAAACCTGAGTTCCCAGGTTTGGCTCAGGGTCTCCTCTCCCTCCTCCGGCACTGGAGGATACCACATGCCCCCAAATAAAAACAAAACAAACCCCAAACTCCCAAGAAAACCCCAGACACTCTAGGCAGGCCCGTGAGACTTTCCATCAGGATCTGCTAAAAACACTGGGGGAAAATTGTACTTAACAGAATACCCAGTTTTCCTGATCACTCTTAGAAGGAGAAAGATGCGCAAGGGATAAAAGTTACCTTTTAAAAAAGCCCAGACAACCAGCCCTCAGGTCACCGGTGGGCCTCGACCCCCAGCCCCGAGAAGCCTCAGAGGAGGCGGGTGCCCGCTTTGGGGGGGGGGGGGGGGGGGGATGTTTTTCTTTTTTTTTTTCCCATTTGTTGTGTTTTTAAGCACCGAGCAGTAACAACTGCCACCTCAGCTCCACTCACGGTACCTCTGTCATGGCGAGGGACGCCCGCTCTCGGACCGGCGAAGGGGCAGGCCGGGCCCCGCGCCGCCGCCCTCAGACGCCCACCGGGAATGCGGGGCGGGAAAGGGGGTGGGTTACCGGGAGGCAGCGGCTTCAGCAGATCCCGGGCGACGACAGGGGACAACCTCGTAGGGGGGCTGCCGGCGGCGGGAAGGCGCGGAGCCGGTCGGGAGGGCGGCGGGCGGGTAACGGCGGCGAGGGGAGGGCTGGGAGGCGGGTGGCCGCGGGGCGGCGCTGGCCGCCCACCCGCCGCCATTTTGAGTCGCGGGGAGCCGAGGGGGAGGAGAACCCCGCTGAGGTAGGAGCGGGGCCGGGAGCGGCGGGGGCGGGGCGGGC